GTTCTGAAAAGGAACACAATCTTGTTTTTATCAGTTCTTGAGAATTTCGTAATATTCTATTTTGGATCAAACAAGATTTCTGAAAGAGAAAGATAAGTTGCGTCTTTAGATTCATTTCAAAATAAATCTATACTTAGTAATGTTTCCCCCCTCTTCTTAATCAGAATTCTAACATAGCAAAATGGAATAACACTTTTACAGAAGGAAAATACATCGAAAAAATGTCTTTAGCTTTCTCTTATTGGAAAATCTATATTGCTGTTTTGAGTGTAGTTTCTTCAATATTTTGTTCTGTCACCATTAAAAAAACATTTTCATTGGTATACAGTCACCAGTCAATCAACACTATATAATAATTACCGTTGTACATTTATTTATTTATATCTTTCGTGTCACGCTCTATGTAATTCCATTAACAAGTTGCAAGGTCATTCTTTTTTATGTTGGTGTCTATTTACCAATCACAGTGTTGGTTCATAGATAAGGACAAAAAAATAAAAACAACTCCAAAATAAACATTGAGAATAAAGACAACCAAGGCAATTTTCAAAACAAAACCTTTACAAGAGATGCAGTAAAAAGGAATTAATTGAATAAACAGTTAATCAGTAGCTTCTGGTTAAGTTGTGACTTCTGAGATCTGAAACGTATGAATTGAATCCATTTTCCCATTTTGGCATTTTGATATCAAAAGTAAACACAACCAAGGAAATCTTTTAAAAACAATTATTACAAGACACGTAGTCATAAAGAAACTAATTGTGTAAACACTTGGGTGTCTTCTACATTTTGAACATTCGTTATGTAATATAATGAAATACATGTAATTGTTATGTTTATTATGTTATAAATGTAATATAACAAAGAATGCTTTTTGAGGAACTTAGTAGTAAGGGTTACGGGTTTGTTTCAAGGCCCTTGTTTTTTTGCATCCTAATATTAAAACATTCTAACAATTGCCGTCAAAGATGGCGGCACGGGTAGGCTAGTTTACTAAGTATTCACTTTTGATACAGTTTTGGGTCCATTTTTAGAACCGACTTAGTTCCTCATGGAATACATTCTATGATATTTTGGAAGCAGTCTTTCGAAATTTGGGTACATGTTGTAATTTTCTAAATCGCTTGGTTACATATTTCGGATACGAAACTTCCTTCCCACCACATTTTATGCGACTGAAATCCAAAGACTATGAAGTCCATTTTAACACAGAAAACACATTTCTGTGTTTCTTTAACCAATCTGCCAATATTTTTTATTTTCTGGGCATGATTACCAAAGGGTAGGCGTTCTGTAGTCAAAAATCGAGGCACATGCTCAGCTACAACTATTTATGTTGTTAGTTAATGTTGTTTAGCGGTATATAACTCTATGGATCATTTAATGTCAAAATCTACATATTTTGAACACAATTTATGACTTCGACTAAATATATTTTGAACGCAATTGTATGCCTTCAAGTACAGATAAAATATATTGTTGGTCATTTTATTATAAATATTGTTGCTTGATTGATTTTGTTTGGCGGCATATCAAACTCTATGGGTTATTTAATACTAAAATCAAAATATTTTGTACGTAATTTTGTGTTTTCAACTCTAGATAATTTTAAATCATTTTATTGTTTCAGCGTAAAGATATGTTTATTTTTAGATATCTAGTTTGTTGATCATAAAATGTATTTTTGGTAATTTTATTATAAAAACGTATTTTTATATTTTTTAGAGTTGTATTGTCATTTTTTTTTATAAAAATGGATTGTTGCTCATTTTAGTATAAAAATGTACAATGGTTTTTGTTTTGGAGTTCTCTATTTGCCCATAGCTGGGACACTGACAGGTGCTACCACCTATTTAGGTAGGTTGCGGCAATTAAATGAAATTTTCAAATGTACGAAAGGTATCAATGTATGTCAAGAAAATATTCGCTATACGATAACTCCACCACCGTTACTCCACCTGGGCTATCGATGCAAGTTAGGATGGGTCTATACTTTCATTTTGTTTACGTCAAATTATGACCTTACTATCCGAAATCAGAAATCGTGACTCATCACATCAGGCAACGTTTATTGTCCACTTTTTGTGGTCCTTAGATACAGTTTCTTGTTCTTATCTGACAGGAGTGGCACCCGACGTGGTCTTCTGCTGCTGTAGCCCATCTGCTTCAAGGTTTAACGTGTTGTTCAAAAAAAAAAAAATGCCTTTTCTGTATACCTCTGTTATAAACAGTGGTTAACTGAGTTGCTGTTGCTTTACTGTCAACTTGAATCAGTCTGGCCATTTTCGCCGGACTTTTTTCATCAAGGGATTTCCGCCCACAAACTTCACTCACTGTATTTTTCCATTTTTGGAACATTTTTGTCGACCCCAGAGAAAAATTCTAATAGATTGTGCTGCGTTCAAAGGTCACTTAAATGACCTTTCAGCCTCCCATGAGATGGAATTCAGTTGGTCGCTATGACTATGTTTAAAGGCTTAATATCCATTAATCGTTAATTTGCCTTTTTTCTTGATTTTTTCAATGATTTCCACCCTGTAGAAGGGCCGAGAGTCACTCAAGGTAGAAAGTTACAGAGTAAGTGGGGAAGATACCGGTTAATTCTAGAGTTGAACAGAATGATCGGGGAAGCATCCTCTTTCCACAAAGCAATGTGTTCGTGGGAAGAAGCTGTTCGAGTGGAACTTAAATCTCACAAATGGAATACGAAGGAAATGTCAGTGGTTCGCCACAATCGGCGTAACATGGCGGATTTTAGCCGTCAAGGATAAAACTGGTGAAACTAAAGAATGTAGTTCATTTGAACACTTTCCATAGAAAGAGCGATAGAGCAGTGAAAGGCTTGCCACATTTCGTCTGTAGGTGAGGAGTTGTAGGGTGGAAAATAATTTGTCACCCACAAGAACACTGAAATAATTTTTGACATTATCGAAACTGAAAAGTGGAGAGTGGTAAGTTCCTGACCATATATGGTAACAATACTGTTTTTTTTTTGTTTTTTTTTTTTTTTTTTGCCCGATGTGGCACTTGTAAAGGTAGAGGATAGAAAAAGGAATCAGATACTTACTGGAAAGGTACAGGGTGGCTGATTAGAAATTTGGATAAAAAATAATTTGTTCAGATGCATTAAGTGATCATTGAGCATATAGTCATGTAGCTGATCGTATTTTGCTTATACTCGAGTCCACAGGCTATTTATATTTATAATTCTCAAAATGTGTGTGTGTATGTATATGCGTGTGTCTGATCGCATCTTGTTTATGCGTTTCTACAGTTTTCATCCGGTTTCGATTAAATTTTTTTGGCTTGATAGCTAATTCTTCAGTGCCGGTTTTGAGTCCAAATTTGCTGGAAAAAAAATTACAACCTTGAAGGTGAAAAATCGAAAAAACTAATTTTTTACACTTTGCTCAAAAATCAAAGACAAACTTTAATGTCTGTAAAAAAAACAGCGTACAATCAATTTAGAGAGTTGAAATCTAACGCAAAAGATTATTAGAATTATAAAAAAAATATAAATATATATAAATAAAAATGATCGTATATTATCATTATGACGGTCCATAGAAAAGGTTCCTTCCTTGCAAGACTGAGAACGCAAAAACGCCCCTTTTCAGGGCCACCATCTATCTCAGTTGTTACCCCCCCCCCATTTGTGGGATGTGCCTCAGTTGTACCCAATTGTTACTAATATTGATTTTCGGATGGTTTGACTTTAAACTTAAATTGCTCTAATTGAACGTCAAAAATTTCCAGTAATGAAACACCCGGTTGAAGACGGGTTATACTGCCAGTTTTATGTTATGACATTTCTTGACAAAGGAATTTTAAGGCTTGTTTCATTCAAGAGTCGTAAATATCGACCCGCATGTGGTAGGCAATTATTTTCTTATTTCTGTGAATTAATATCCGTTATTACACGCTCACACTTAAGAGGATGATGATTTTTATTTCCTTCTCCCATACATGAATTAAAAAAAAAATTCTTCAATATCTTAAAATACTGTTTGGTTAAATCTTTCGAATTTCCTCGTAATATTTTTATGTCATTGTAGTTTGGAACATGTTACAAAAGGAAGTACACCATGTCTAAGCAGAAGTTAAAAAAAAAGTTAAATGTATTTTTCATGTCTTTTCGTATTTATTTGTTCTAAAGATTTATTTAGAACTTGTAAAAAAAGGAAAGGAAAAAATGTATCTTGAAGCGATTGTTTCAGCATTTGGAGACTTTACTACAGGGTTCCTCAGAAAAAAAAAACAGGAAATTTGGTACAGTTTATTTAATTGTTGAAATTTTTGTTACAGCTTTTTGAAACAAAAGCGAAAGATAGAAATTTAGTATCTTAAAACAGAACAAAAACACAAATGTTATATATTGTGTTCAAACTAAAGAACTATGGCTAACTTTCTTGGCTTTCAGTTAAAAATATACATATGCAAGTTACTTTTTTAGTTCATACATATAGTAAAATATATAGTTAATTTTTTTTATATGTTAGTTAATTTTTTTTATCATATAGTAAATCTAAAATTTCTTGTCTTTTGTGGGACACCCTGTAGTAGTTGAAATGTGTTTACATAAGTCAGGATACTGTCTTTGTTTTCTTATCCTCGGATGTTACTTAATACATGCATTTGTCTCTAAAACCAAGTAAAATATACCATAAGGATTTATACTAATGTAAAACTTATACATTGTATTAGTTTTTGCATAAGGTCGAGGATTAGAACCTATTAGCTCGATACAACATGCTTTATTGTCACACCTTTAAGGGATGCTGGACTTTTAAAATCTGCTCGGCCATCTCTCTAAAAGATGGAGACGTCAATAGAGAACATCTGCTTATTAGCATATTCCATCTGTCTAGATAACAGAATGGATAAAGTCTGTAACGTGCGAAACACACATCACCCTGAAAAGACAAATATTAAGCAAGCATGGTGTCTTAGCATGGTTCCAAAGTGGTAACATCGTAAAGCCGGAACGCCTTCCACGTAGCTTACGGCCACATCACGTTGAAACACCGGTTCACGTACGATCACTGAAGTTAAGCAACGTCGAGCCGCGTCAGTATTTAGATGGATTACAACTTGAAAATATCAGCTGCTGTAAGATGTGTGGGTGGTGTAATGGATAATGGCTCGGAATTGTTAATCGGAGTGCCAAGTTCGAACTTCAGTTGGGTTCGTTGTATTCATTTAGGCGCAAATACTCTTTAGAAAGGCATGAATACACCGCTTCTACCCCATCACCTAGCTATAGTTTATTTAGGAAGATTTATATGACTAAAACCATTATTATCTAAATAAATAAAATTGCGTTCAAAATAGTTAGATTTTGGCATTTATAATAACTCATAGAAGTTGATATGCCTTTAAACGAAAGAAAATAAACCATCTTCGTGCCTTACTATCTGCAGTTGCCATCTGTCTGTTATGGGCTTCACCGCTGGCTACTGGTGAATAAGTAGCAGACTTGGACGTCACTTAGTCTTCGTCTGCAAAGTCAAACCATGTTATGTGAATTTGCATGAAGAAACAAATTGAGAATTTGGAAAATATAAAGCACTAGCAGCATGGCCCGGCGTTGCCCGTTCTTGATTCAAAAATCGTATGACTCATACAGCAATCGCTATCACTTGACTTAAAATACTTTTACCCTTTCTTGCCTTTAAAGGAGTGCCCTTTGCCGTGCTGATGTTGCTACATGCCTTACTTCTTGCCTATCTCACACTGCGAATTTTTTCTAAGCTCTATACTAAACATTAAATCTGTTACGAAAAAAGAACTAAACAAAATGAACACAAAACAATCAGCTTTAAAAAAGGACTCGTAACTGGAAAAACCGAATGAAAAAAGAATGTTAACAACAAATACTTTTCACACCCAACCCAGTTCTGCGGAATCAGAATCAACGTTGAGTTTAAGCAAGCGAATGAGCCAATTGGAGTAAAGTGCCATGCAGATTTAAATTTTTCCCACTTGTGACGAATGCAGCTATCGATTTTTTTTGCATGTTAGTTAACAATCGTGTCAGTCAGCTGTTGGCTCTCACGCTGGCTAACTTATAGCATGTGCATGTAAATCTTGGTGCAAATCTGTCAAAAATTGCGGCTGTGCATTTGTTACACACACACACACACACACACACACACACACACACACACACACACACACACACACACACACACACATCCTGCCTTTTATAGATAGAGATTTCTATATTTCATCAAGCCGTTTACAACTCTAAATGCATACACGTATAAAAAAAAAACAGATGGACAAATAAAGATGATAGCACGTGAACATTACACATTTTACAAGCAGAAGAATATATTGACATCTGAGTTTTAGGAAGACTTTGTCCTACCAAACTTTCAATAGGTGATGATGTGTTTGCTTTCAAAAATAATAAGCATTTCAAATATTGTCTTTTATCTCTAAGTTGGCTAGAAGCATCAGCAGCAATTATTTCACGTCAGTCATCAAGTAGGCTGTAGAGAGAGAGAGAGAGAGAGAGGAGAGAGAGAGAGAGAAAATAGCACGTTTATTTGGTTAGCATAAAGACAACTGTTCAACCAAATAAAAACAAATATGGCCGAATAGTTGGACGAATTAGAAATTGTTGAGGAAGGATACGGTCGGATGAAAGGCAAGATGGTAATGACAATATTAACTGTTTCCTTTTGATGAAATGTTCGGCATTCATCGACCGAGCAGCCAGTGCCACTGTCGTTTGAAATTTCTAAAATCTTTATGCTAAAACTATTTTTTCAGGAAATTAGGTTCCTCAAGTGTACTGTTATCGTTCTTTCCAGTATTGACGGGAGCTTCTTTCTCAATGTTTTTTTTCGAAGTTGTGTGTAATGTCATCAGATTATGTAATTATTTTCTTTTTGTGATACATGTGCTATCCATTTTGGTTGTTGCTACTGTTGAAGGTCCTCAAGTGATACGGTTTCTATTATATGGTATAGTTCTTTGTGATTATGTAGCGCCAGTCCACGGGATTCTCGCTAAGATCTACAGGCTTCATTCCTTCGGTGCCATTTTCAATTATTGATTTGAGAAAGCGGTTGTATGCAGTGGCCTAAGAAATGATTTTAGCCAGGAGAAATCAGCTAGATCCAATTTCAAAATTTAATTACATAATCCCTACTCAACATAAATAAACAGTATTTGGAACTAGTATGTAGTAGGTCCTCCATTTGCTAGTTTCAGTGATTGTATTCGATTTTTCATGGATTTGATCAATTTATCAACACTCTTCTAAGCCATATTTTGCCACTTCTTTAGCAATGTTTCTTTAAGGGTTGCCACTGACGTGATTTTTTGTTGCACGCTCTCGAATCCTTCAGTTAAGGTGCTTCCAAAACTTGCTGTATTGGATTCATGTCAGGATTTTGGGCTACCCAGTTCAGTGACTTCATTCCTTGCGATTCCTTCCAGGCCTTTGCTACTTTGTTTGTATGACATGGCGATCCATCTTCTTGAAAAAGGTAGACATTCTTGTCAATATGATTGGTTTCAAATAATGGGAGTAGCCCTTTCTCTAATATTTGACAGTATTTTGGACCATTTAACCGCTCGTCAACAAGAATCAGCTCAGATTTCCCTCCAAACCAGACAGCGCCTCACACCATTACTCCAATCCTTCCATGTTTCACGATCGCTTGCAGACATTCAGTGTTCCAAGTCTCATTCTGATTTCTCCAAACATAAACCAATCTCGAATTCGAATATTGACAGAATTTATATTCATCTGACCAAATTACAGACTGCCAAAATTCATGATCTTTGCTCTCAAATTCTCTAGCTCAGTCCATACGCCTTTTCCTGTTAACTTCTGAAATCAATGATTTCTTTCTTGCAACTCTTCTTTGGTAGCCTAGCTCTTTCAGTGTCTTTCTCACCGCATATGGTGACATTTCCATGCTGTTGGCGACATCTTTGACGCTCTGACGACGGTTTCTGATGATTTCCCTCTTCAGTGCCTTTTTCGTTTGCTTAGACACGATACTTGGTTTTCCTGAACGTTGTTCCACACGACAATGGCCTTCTTCGTTAAATTTCTTGACAATATTATTAACCCTTTGATGATTAACCTGGAAAAACCTAGTAATTTCTCTATTTGACTTGCCATACTGATGCCATTCTATTATTTGCCCTCGTTGAAATTCACCAGTTTTCTTACTTTGAAATTTCATTACAAAATATAAGTCAACTATCGTTCATAGATTATAGTAGCTTGATACTAACATGGTATTGTCTGAAATAAAAGAAGAGACGATATTACACAAGCCAAAATTGCTGTAATTAAGGGTGGCTAAAGACTTATCATAGATCACTGTATAGCTGACAGTTTAGATATTTCTGAACAAGTTTGGCGCCATGACATTCATATGAAAGTCTCAATCTAACGAAGCTATTGATACACATGACTCGAGTTTTTAGGTTAATGTTTTTGCTTTGTAACAACTTGTAGCTTTGAGCGAAGCTACACCTAGTACAGCCTATTCTTTTTTAATATTCTTAGATTAATAAAAGCTAAGCATGCATATAGACGAAATTCACAGGTCGCTGCAAAGAAGTAAAGAGAGAAAAAGATGAACTTTTCATGTCATATTAGATTCTTTTTAAAAAGTAGACGGAGACATTAACGACCGGTTTTAAGAAACAACATTCGGTATCTTGGTTTTGGGATGAGCCGAATATCGACTACGAGCGTCGCAGACAAATACCTTAGCATCATCTAACAAACATTTGAAAGTGAATGAAAAATGTTACAATTGTGTGGGTGTCCAGATAGATAGATAGATAGATAGATAGATAGATAGATAGATAGATACGAACAGACTGGAATAGATAGATAGATAGATAGATAGATAGATAGATAGATAGATACGAACACACTGAAATAGATAGAAACGGACATAGATTGAAAACATCGGAGTGAAATAAATAAATATATAGAAACGATCATCTTTGTACCTACATGAAAAGTTATAGATTTATTAAGTTTCTAAAAAATAAAGATTTATTAAATCAAAGAAAAAATTACTGTTTTTTGTAGACATTGCATTATGTTTACTTTAAAATTTCATAATTATATATCTATTATTTGATCACAAATAAAAATGTAAAAGAATTTAAAAAAAATCTTATTTGAAGACCCTTTAACAAAACCCCAATATATTTTATTAAAAATAAATAAAATAAAATGCCGATGTATTGTAGTGTATCTTATGTATGCCCCTATAAGGAAGCCAGTGTCGACAGGCTGAAATTACAAACCCACACCTAACCCTTAACCTATATTTACACTTTGCATTCTTAAATTAGACTTGTATCCTGATTCGTCTAAAATGTTGTAATGTTTTCAAATGGTGTAATCCCTTTCCCCCGCCAACTTAAACTATATAAGACTATTTAGCTTAAAAAAAGTAAATAATTTTTTTCGAAAGTTATTCAACATCGCTTGGGAATGGAATAATTAATTTTAATCTTAATTTAAAGTTTAGTTTTTAGTTACGAAACATGGTAATTTCTGTGTCGCGATGAATACATGTTTTTAAATAATAATAATAATAATAATAATAATAATATATTTAAGCGCAGTGCTAGATTGGCGTTAAGATCTCACCAATTTACAGTTGAAGCTGCTAGCCGTAAGTTCTATGCTAACAGCTTCTTTTCTCGCACTTTTCGCTTGTGGAACTCTCGTCCGGCTCCATGATTTCAAGCCAACTTTAATCTCCAAAAGTTTAAATGCAGTATCAATAGCTATCTACTGTCCTCCTGATTACTCTTGCTCATTATTAATGTTTTGTTCTTAATTCTTCCACATCCTGTAATCCATTGTATCTTAGTAGCTTTAATGCCTTGCATGGGGATTATATATATATATATATATATATATATATATATATATATATATATATATATATATATATATAAAGGGTGTTTCATTAAGACGGGTCAAAGTCAGTAGTAAATTAATCAGTGTTATTGTTGAAATTTTATTTTTCTATTGGATCATGTTATTTAAGTCATGACAATTATGTGCGAAAAAAAATATCGCCCAAATGTTCTCTAAGGCTTCGGCGGGACACC